TATTGTAGAATAAGTATGAAGATCCAAGGGGGAAGGGGATGGTGGAAACGGGTGAAGATGGAAGAGGGAGTGTTAATCATAGAGTTGCACAATTTGATGGGTGGGAGTGGTAAAATAAATGGGGAAAATCTGGAGTGAAAAACAATGTATTTGAACTTTGTAAATAAATCAGTATAAAATAATTTTTTTAAAAGATGGAAGGAGTGCGCAGAGTCGTATAAAAAAGAATTGCTGACACAGAATTATTTCATAAAACAGCATACAACTGAGAGGCAATGGTGATGAAGGGGGAAGTTAAAGCTACACAGAAGGAATTGGCAAAAAACAAGGCCCCAGTATTGATGGAATACCAGTTGACATATTTCCGCAAACAGATGTTTTCCTGGACTTGCTCACCTAGTGTGCCAAGAAATCTGAAGTTACAGTTACCTGGCCAAAAAAGTGGAAAAGATTCATATTTATTCCCATTCCAAGAAAGGATGACCAGACAAGAGTGTGGAAATTATCAAATAATATGATTAATATGCAAGGAAAATCTTGCTGAAGATTATAAATAAGTGACTTGAACATTATATGAGCACTAATCTACAAGAGGGAAAAGGCTGAGATTAGAAGAGGCCATGGACTAGGTACATCATTGCCAGTGTCAGATGGCTCTTGGCAGAAAGCAGAGAGTACCAGAAAAATGTCTTTCTGTATTTCATTGACTATGCAAAGACATTTGACTGTGTGGATCATAACAAATTGTGGCTAACCTGGAGAAGAATCCTTGAGGTGGAATCCACTGAATCATCAAACAATGGCTCTGTCTTCTTTCTACACCTCCTTCACGTTAATATTTGTCCACAAATGAGAGTCTTGCTTTCACTCTACTCTCCCAGTTTCTGTCTCTGCACCTTACTTCCTAACTCTGCTCTGTGGCATGGACCAGGCACATGCTCTCTCTGTGGCTACTCTATTTCCTCCTAGCTTCAATGCTACCATTTCCAGGCTCAAGGCCTGTACACAGTAATAGAGCCTCGTTGAGTGACCTAGACGGGCATCACTGGGTCTAAGTTGACCACTTACATCCTAAAAGATGTTCCCATTTCTCAGAAAACAGAAGGAGCTTTGGTAGCCTTGTAGTAAGGAGTTGCTCTGCCCAATTAAACACAGGTAGCTCAAATTCACCACTGGAGAAAGATTGCCAGTCTTCTCTTGTGTGGTTTACAGCTGTAACAACAAAAGCAACATCAGAAGGCAGGGAGCTTTAGCGGCACAGTTTGAAGGGAGTTTCATTTTTAACCCAAAGGTGGTGCCTCTCTGGCAATTTGAATTCCCCAGGATCTCTGAAAGGATGGGTAATCTCCTCCTTTGCAATTTACAGCTTCCAAAGCCCCACTAGATTATAAATTATGAGTTGATTTCAATTCATCAACAGTAAAGAGTTTGAGCTTGATCAGAAGGCAATTCCTTCATTGAGACAAGGGTCATATCAGGAGTTGTTGTTGTTGTTGTTATGTGCCATCGAGTCGTTTCCGACTCATAGCGACCCTATGCACAACAGCCCTAAACCCTGCTCTATCCTGCGCCAACCACACCGCCTCTGACACACCCATCCCGATTATCCCAGTCACCGAATCAATCCATCTCATAGAGGGTCTTCCCCTCCTGCACTGTCCCTCCACCCTCCCAAGCATGATG